TAAAATAACTGTATACTTCGCACTTTGATCAAATTTTATGTATTTCTCAATGAATCGACAAATAATTATAATAAATATAATTTTGTAAAAGTTTGCACAATCTCTTTATCATAAAAATTTTGAAAAGTCATTTTATTTTTTTTTTTGTTTTTTAATGTCAAAATATCAATCATATAAAAAAGATAAAATCAATCTTATCTATTAGAAATGTCAGAGAATTTAAGTAATCAACTTTAAAATACCTGATATTTGTTATAACATTGTGTCTTTAATACGAATTATATATAGGGAATAACAAAAATTACACGTGTATTTTGTGATGAGAGATCAAAATGCTTATTATTAGTAATAGTATTATATACTGTATATCAAAAATATTATCATACAGACCAAGGTATTGCGTCATTCGCAAAAATATAAACTTTGACCTATCACATGACTCCTATAATGCTTTTATATATAGGTCAAATTATAATATATACTTGATATCAAGTTTATATGTATAGTATTGCTATATTTATTTAAGTTACGTAATTGATAGATATCAGTATAAAAATTTTTTATTTATCATATTACTTTTCGTTCTTTTAAAGATACTTGTTAAATATTCTTATAATAAATGAAATGATCAATATGAGTAACTCTACTTTCCCATGCCCTATTATGAATAAAAGAAAGCTTCTTTATATATATTCTTTTTTTTTTTAGATTTTCAGAGATATCAGTTTAATGGCTTAGAAATGCAGAGAACAAGATCTCTACAATACATTTTTCCTTCTTTTCAAGTATTTCTCAAAAGGTTTAATTCTTATAACAAAGTTATGCATTGATATTTATATTCTTTAATGTTTTACATTAGAAATAATAATATCATCTATCCTGTAGGTTACAATTAACCCCAGTTCTAATGATAAAAGTGCTAAGATCTCATGACAATAGTGATATATATGAAGAACTCTTATCCAAAAGTAAACAAAAAGAAGAAAAAGAAGAAAAAGAAGCGTAAAATGAAAAGCATATAAAATCAAAGATATTTCTAAGCAAACATGTGAATCAGATTACAAATTGGATAAACATCTTGCAACTTATAGGCTAAAAGTTCATATGCTTGTAAACTATAAACATCTCTTAGAAAGTCAATCTCAAAATAATTGCAGTATCATTCGAAGCATCAATAGCGGAAAGATGCTAGTCCAAAAAAATATTGAACAGTTTTCGACAGAAAATCAATTTCCCTTTACATATCCTTCAAAATTAGATCATAAAGTGATGTCAAAGAAGGATCATGGCAATTTCTCAGGAATGAATATGTGAATGCATCTAAGTCAAGTGAGACCTAACATACCAATTCAGACATAGTAGGATGAATAACAAAGTATCCTTACCAAAATTGTATGATGTTCTGTGTCAACTTTATGATTAATTAAAAGACAAACTTCATGACTTTACGGAAAAGGATTAGTAGTTTTTTAATGCAAACCTTAGAGAATATCTTGTTAAAACCTTTGATATCACTAAAATTTTTTCTTTATTTAGACCATTTTGAATTTGTAATATAGTTTTTAGATGAAAATAAATGCTTGTTTTTGTGAAATGCAATGGAGAATAGTATATTATATATGGGATCTAACTTGGAAGAAGAAATTGCGAATTATCTCATCTATCTGAATAGGTTATGTTACGTCATCGAAGACACTTTTGAGCGAATACCTGTAAATGAAGAAGAACGTAAATTGGATAAAGAAGTCAAAAATCATAGAGGAGATAGATTTGAGAAGATGCTTTTGGAGGTTAAGGCTAGTCTTGTGTTTTTAAAAAGAAAAAAGCAAGAAAGTCGAGTAAGGATAATTAATTCAATCACTTTATCATTTAGGAAAAAGTTATAATTTAAGAAGAAGCTGATAATAGATTACAATATAATTCGAATATACTGTATTGTTTAATAATTATTATTCAGGAAACACATGATTTTTTTTACAAAATAGTTGGTTAGCAAATCTTTATTATTTGGTGCTTAAAACTTTTTAGAATTGTATAATTTAAAATTAAAAAGCATAAATAAAACTGCAATCTGCATTCTTTTACGTTATGAAAACTTCATTTTTGTAAAATGAAAAGTTGACCGGCTAAAAATAAAAATTGGAGTAGCGAGTTTAAAGGGAGAAATAAAAAGGGTCCCTGATTACGAAGATATCACATTAAGATAACTGTATTATACACTTTGAAAATAATTCTCCTAAGTAACATAAGTGTAACCATATATACTTTGGCCATTTTAATACTAGTAAACTTAGTAGATAACACATCAATTATCACAATATTCCAATCATCACAACCAGGGTCTGAATAAAAGCGTGAAAAGGTCATGAAAAGTTATTAAAAATTCATGCTTTCCCGCCCCTAGATGCCTTTTACATAGTAAAAGGAATGGCCCATTGCTATCTAGGTTATTATTAATTTTGCTATCTAACCATAGACCAATATCATCTAAAGTGTTAATGTATCCATCCTCCTTGATATTTCTCTCATAAAACCCTTGAACCGTGACTTTTTAATATTTCCACCTAATTCACAAATTTCTATTACTACATGAAGGAAGACACATCTCTTTTAGGTTATATCTTTTTCGAATATGGATGGTTCTTTAGAATTTTGACATAAAACTCAGCATTCATGATTTGGTGAAAGTCCAGATAGTTAATCTAATACCCTTGAATGTTATTGGACCCTGACCCTGCAAGAAAATTATATTAATAAAAATTAATAGACTGATTTTTTTCCTTACTAGAAGAACTTCCGGGTTG